TGGGGCTCTTTGGCTTTCTTTCTGAGTTCTGCTGCTGGTGCTGATCTTTTTTCGGCTTCCTGCTTTTTCTGAGAGGCCAACTTGGACTGTGTGGGAAGGAAGAAACCGGAGCTCTTCTTCAGATTGGCTTTGGAAGAATGCCTTTGGTTTCTTTCACAAGTGGAATGTCTTTGAGGGCTGGAAAAACAAAATTTCCCTTGTGCCTTGGTGCCAAAACTGGTGCAACGTGGAGAAGCCTCGCCGACACACACACACAAACACACACAGAATCCTGGTTCTCTCTCTCTCTCTATCCCCCCCCCCCCCANNNCTTTGCTGGAAAATGTGCCAAGCGGGGAGCTTCTCCCCCTCTTTTTTAAATGCCTGCTGGCCTAGTTTTAGAGATTCCCGGAGCTCCTTCCTTCCGAGGTGACCAAACAGGACTGGGAAGGCAGGTGGCTGGGACACACCTGAGCGGCCGAGGGAAGCAGCGTCAGCACAAAAAAGGGTGTCTGTCTGTCGAGGGAGCTTCTGCTGGATAGTTCCAGTAAGCATCTGCCGTAACACACACACACCCAGGCAACAGGCCCCTTTTGCTGCTCTTTGCCTCTTCCTCCAGCAGCTGTTAGACTGCTCCTGGATGAGGAGGTTCTGTTCCTAGATAATAGAAGAATGTGGCATATCTGTCTGGTCCGGAATCTGATTTCTAACATGCTCTTGGGCAGAAATGGAAACAGCAAACAGAAATCACAGGCGGAATGGTCCATCAGAGCAAGTGTGTACCACGGATGCAGAAGCAGCCCCTGGCAGGCCCCGTGGCGTTGTGTGGGCGGAAGCGCTGTCTCGTGAGAGTGGGTCTGGTTGAGGTTTTGGATGTGGGATGTTCCCCCCTGCAACATTGATTTATGCAGCAAGGTGGGAGGGAGTTCCACCGTCCCCTTTGCTGGAGTGAGGAGGGAGTAGGGCCGTTCCCCCCATTTCAAACCAGGTACGCGGGCGCTGGGGTTACGCACCCTCCCCCAGGCCTTCCTTTCGTGGGGCAAAGGCACCTCCAGACATCCATGTAGGCGGAGCTGTGGAAGCAGGCGTCTTTTCTGGCGTGTGCTTCACGAGGCTGCACTCCCGCATATTTATGCCGGCTAGAACCAGTTACCGTTTCCGTGTCACAAGATTCGGCTGCAGTGGACAAACAAGGGTCGGCAACTCTGGGACGCTTGGGGGTAAAGGGGAGGAGAGTGCCGTGGCCTGGATCACATTTCTGCCCATCGAAAGAGGAGCTGACTTGTTTTTGTCTCCGGAAAGGGTCTTGTGCTTATCTATATTTTTGTCTCCGGAAAGGGTCTTGTGCTTATCTATATTTTTTGGGGGGTGGCTATCGGGGCATCCCAGGTTCCTTTTCTGGGGTTCAGTGACCCTTTCTTGGCTATATGTCCAGTTAGGTGTGGACTTGTATGCCTTGAAGGACCAATGGACTTAGTTTGAGGCTTGAGTTCAATTCTTCTTTTCTTTTTAAGTGAGGGTGTTTTGTTGTTTTGAGTCTTAACCTAAGTTTTTTAGCCACCTTGGGAAACTTTCTGCAGAGCAGGAGCAAAAGGTCTGATCAAATCATTCTGGAAGTCCTCGGGATGTGTCCAAAGCAGAACCCAAGACCCTGCATCTTGGTTTTTGGTGGCTGCCCCTTTAGAGATCAAGAAAGAGCCGGCCCTGCCCCTTGTCCCGCCAGAAAGAAAAATGCCAGCCAGAGGAGGACTTGAGCTCATTTTGTTTTTCCGCCTCTGCGTAAGGGGTGATGTTGGAGGAGGAGAAGGAGGGAGCGCCAGCAGAGTCCTGGCACAGCCCAGGAATGCGTGCACTGTCAGCAACTACCCTCCAGGGAAACTCCGGATCCTCCTCCTCCTCCACCCCCCCTCCCAGGGTGTTTTGCAAACGGAAGAGCCAGCTCTTTCCTTTTTATTACGGCTGTCGAAACCTGAATTGGTGTCCCAAGGATTGATGTTGCTTTTAGACCGAGGTTCTTGGGAGTGTGATTTTTTCTCTCTCTTTCACCCCCCCCAAAAGTTTGGGGAACTTTTGACCCTTCCGTTTTCAGAACAATGGTCTGTTAACTCTTGGCCTTTTCTTTTCTTTTTTTGGAGGGGGAGGGAAAGATGTTAGTTAAAAGTCCGAAAAGTCTGGAGAGGTAAAGGCTTTCCACGCTTGGACCCGTGCTTTGTCTGTTGTGTCAATGTTGTCCAGAGGATTCTGGGAATTGTAGGAGGAGAATCACTTTCCCAGGCTCTTGAGAATGAAGCCCGACCGAACAGTGAGGTGGAGTCTGTTGCCAGGAGGGGAGAGAAGCCGTCAAAGAGCAAATGCCACTTCTCAGGTTCCTCTTTTCTCAGGCGGGAGGTGTGCAAGTTCACTGTTTCGAAAGAATAATGAAATCCTAGATTCATGGAGTTGGAAGGGACCCCTGAGGTCATTGAGTCCACCCCCCCTTGCTCAAGGCACAAATCCAAATCCAAGATTTTACAGACGGTCGTCTACATTTCTCTTGAATGACTTCTGCCCTGGACTGCTCCCCACCTGCTCCTGTTGTTAGAAAGATATTTGTCCTAATATTCAGCCAAAATCTGGCTGCCCGTCTATCAAGCCAGGGATCCCTGCACTCCGGGACGATCAAGGACAGACCCTGGCCCTCCTCAGCACGATTCCCGTTCAAGTCTTGGAAAAGCGCTCGCCTGTCTCTCCGCCATCTTTCTTTCCTCAAGGCTAGCATGAGAAACGGGATCATGATGAGCACGGTTGCTCTGGCAATCCAAGGTTGTGATGAGAGAAATATATGCTTCAACCTAGATTCTCCCCCTTTCTCCTTTTTTTCCCAGCTGGCACAGAAATATGATCCGCAGAAGGAAGCCGAGTTGCGGGCGTGGATCGAAAGCATTACAGGACGGGAGATCGGGCCCGATTTCCAGAAGGGGCTGAGAGATGGCGTCATCCTTTGCGAGTGAGTCGCAGGAGAGTTTAAGAGGGGAGTTCAAGGCGGCCTTGGAGACACTCCCACCCTCCCTTCCCTTGAAGCCGCACAGCTACCTCTCTTCCTTTCTGGGGGTGTGTGTGTGTGTGGCTTTCTTCTAATCTTGGCCCAGGGGCTGATTTCCTGCTACTGGGACCT